GGTCAAAACTGAATTGCAGCCTTGGAAAAAAAAATAAATTGGTGTGTCGGACTGACCAGCAAATGCTGTCATCAGCTCATCTATCGTACTCTTAAAAGAAATTCTTTCCCAAATTTTGCTAGTTATTTTTATTGCTTTGAAATAAATAATTGATTTTCTGAAAACTATCATGTAAATGCAAGCTGTCACCTTCGAATTACTCTCCAAAATGTTAATTTATTAAGCTGCTTATCCAAAAGGGCCTTTGCTTTTTTTTTCCCATCCAGTTTTTCACTCATCTGTGGAATGGAGATAGTCCAATATGTATAATTTGTCACTGCTGACTAAGACTATCTTTAATCTTTCAGTAAAAGTAATCTTTCTATAAAGAGCCAGTTTTTAACTTCTAACTAAATACTTCTTATGCCATTAATCTTTAAAATTTCATTACTCTGGCTTGCAGTGAGGGCTTTTCATTTTGGAGGTAGCTCAGGCTCCAACGTGTCAGAATGCCATGGGACTATATAGATTGGTACAGAAATCGAACAACACGCTCACAAATTTAAGAACTGCCATTGTAGTTTCAGTTAGCAATCTTACCTCTTGCTGTCAACAAAAAAGCCTTGAAAAACTGCAGTTTTGTTTTTAAGTAACTCTTATCAGATATCTTATCATGATGAGAGGCATAGATAGAGTGGATACCCAGAGACTTTTTCCCCAGGGTGGAAATGACTATTATGAGGGGGTATAATTTTAAGGTGATTGGAGGAAGGTATAGGGGAGATGTCAGAGGTAGGTTCTTCACACAGAGAGTGGTGGGCACGTGGAATGCACTGCCGGCAGTGGTAGTGGAGTCAGATACACTAAAGACATTTAAGCGACTCTTAGATAGGCACATGGATGATAGTAAAATGAAAAGTATGCAGGTTAGTTTGATCTTCGTAGGATAATAGGTCAGCACAACACTATGGGCCAAAGGGCCTGTACTGTGCTGTACTGTTCTATGTTCTATACTATACCCTGCAAGTCAGTGAGAATGACCAGCTCTCATTGTGAAGTGTTCTTCCATTGCACTGGGAAGCTGGACGTGCATAGATACATTCAATGCAAGCACAGCATATAATGGTCCAAGCTGTTCCATTGCCAGTTCGTATGTAGTATGATTATTCACAAAAAACTGCAATGGAACAAAAAAAAAAGGTGGCAAACAACTGAAAGGGCACATACATTCCTCACAACCTGAAAGCAATAGGATATCCTGTGGTTCTGCAGCTTGGGGGAGAAATGTTGGCTTACAAAGTCATACAATGTGGTAGTACTGCGAGGCAAATGGTTAGATAATGATAAGCAGGCTGGGAGGCAAAGGGTTTTCTGTGGCAGAGAATTCCTCAGCCACACCACTCTCTGGGTGTAGAAATTTCTCCTCCTCTTAGTCCTAAATGGCCCACCCCATATCCTTAGACTGTGAGCCCGGTTCTGGACTCCTGGTCATTGGGAACATCCTACCTACATTTACTTTGCCTAGTCCTGTTAGAATTTTATAGGTTTCTATTCCCTCATTCTTCTGAACATGCTATGGAGGTGCCAGTGTTGGACTGGGGTGGACAAAGTCAGAAATCACATGACACCAAGTTATAGTCCAACAGGTTTATTGAAAACACAAGCTTTCGGAGTTTCATTCCTTCTTCAGGTGTTAGTGAGAGAGGTAGTATCCAGATAGTAACATCCAAAGAAGGAGCGATGCTCTGAAAGCTTGTGTTTCTAGAACAATGTGTTGTGGATCCAACCAGGGATCAGGCTAATGAATAAGGGCAGAGTTGGCTGGAATGGACTGGGAAAGTACAGCCCAAATAGTTTTTTTGGCAGAAAAGACAGTTATGAACAATGGCAGATATTTCAGAAAATAGTTCATGGCTCACAGCAAAGATATATCCTAGTGAGAGAGGAGGATTCTAGGAAGGGGATAAACTTATAAATGTAAAATACTACAGATGCTGGAAAGCTGAAACAAGCACAAAGAATGCTGGTGATACTCAGTAGGTCTGGCAGCATCTGTGGTGAGAGAAACAGAGATAACATTTGAGTTTGGCATGATTCTTCTTCAGAACTCAACCTAGCTAACCAAGAAAGTTAAGGGTAGTATCAAGGCGAAGCAAAAAAGAAATCATAAAACGTGGCAAAGATTAGTGGTAAGCCAGAAAATTAAAACAGTTTAAAAAAAACTAAAAATAGGAGAGAGAAAATGAACTTTAAGGGTAAACTAGAAGTAATATAAAAATGGACAGTAAAAGCTTCTTTAAATATATGAAAGAAAGAAGCCAAAGTGAACATAGACCACTTAGAGAATGTAACCTGAGAAATAATAATGATCAAGCAGGAAACAGTAGAGGGGTTGAGTAAATATTCTGGGTCAATCTTCATGGTAGAATACACCAACAGCATTCCAAAAATATTTTAAAAATCAAGGTGCAAAAGTGACACAGGAAACATTTTTTAGAGAATAAAAGAACTAGGGAAACTAATAGTGCTAAAGGCTTATAAGCCCCCTAGATCCTCAGATATTAAAGGAAGTAGCAGCTGAAACAGTGGATGCAACAGTAGTAATCTTCAAAAGAATCCTTGAATTCTGGAAAAGTCACAGAGGATTGGAAAACTAACAATGCAATATCCTTATTCAACAAGATTGGAAGTCAAAACAATAAGTAAATATTGGCCAGTTAGCTTAACATAAGTCATTGGGAAAATGGTAAAGATCTATTATAAAGGATGTAATGGTAAAGAATTTAAAAATACATAATAAAAATTAAAAAGAGTTAGCATGGCTTCATGAAGGGGAAAACATTCCTGCCAAAGTTACTACAATTCTTCGATGAGGTAACAAACAGAATAGATAAAGGAAAGCCGAGTATTCATATAATATATTTTGATTTCCATTAGGCATTCGAAAAGGTATCGCACATAAGGCTACTTAATAAGATGAGCCCATGGTGTTGGGGTAGTATACTGGCATGGATAGAGGACAGTCTAACTAATGTAGACAAAGAGCTGGATGAAGAGGGCAGTTTCGGAATGGCAACCTGAAGACTGCACCCTCTGGTCTTAGACTCTCCCACAAGGGTGCTGGGACCACAATCATTTACAATACGTATTAATGACTTGGATGGGGAATAAATGAAGTATCGCCAAGTTTGCAGATAACGCAAGTAAGTAAGTGGTGAGGATGATACACAGAGTCTGCAGAAGAATACAGGCACATTAAGAATTTGGGAAAAACCTCGTCAGATAGAATATAATGTGGGAAAATTGGAGATTATACACTTCAGCAGGAAGAACAGAGGAACTGAGTGTTATTAAAATGGAGAAAGCTGAAGAACACAGATTTGGGGTCCTTGTGCATAAATCACACAGAGCTGGCATTGAAGTTCAGAAGGCAATAGGAAGACAAATGGAACATTGGCCTTTATTTCAAAAAGAATGGATTATAAAAAGAGAAATCTTGCTAAAACTATACATGACACTAGTAAGAAAACAGCTGGAAAGATATATTGGTATTGGAGCCAGTCCAATAAAGGTTCGCTAGGTTAATCCTGGAATGGAAAGCTTTTTTATGAGAAGAGGTTGGGTAAGTTGGGCTGTACTCACCGGAGTTTCAATGAATCAGAGGCAAGCTTTTGAATTATACAAGATTCTTAGGGGCATAATAAAGTGGATGCTAACAGGTTGTTTTCCCTTGTGGGAGAGGGACCAGAGGGCACAACCTCAGTATTAAAGGCTTATCCATTGAAGACAAAATAAAAAGGAATCCCTTCACTCAAAGAGTAGTGAAACTGTGGATTCCTTTAACACAGAGCGCAGTGAATCTGTGAAATTCTTTTTCACAATGGGCCACAGAGGCTGGGTCTTTAAGCATATTCAAAGCTGAGATAAACAGGTTTTTACCAGTAAGGGAATCAAGGGTAATGGGGAAAAGGCAGGAAAGTGGTGTTCAGGATTATCAGTGAATGACAGAGCAGACTCGATGGGCCAAGTGGCCTATTCTGCTCCCATGTCTTATCAAAATTCTATCCATTCAAAGATAACTCACACTGAATACGGATCGTCACTATCATCATCTTTCAGACATTGTATTCTCAATCTCTAATGACAAATACCTACTGCATTTTCTATACTCAAAACAGCAAAACTCCAGGAAAAAATATAATGGAGAGAAGGATGATAGAATATGCATTAAATTTCTCTTTTGAAGTAAAAGTATAGGTCATTCATCCTTGGTGGTCTAGTTAACGGGGAGAAAGAAATCCTATCGGCGCAAGAGAAAGAGCAGCGTGTCAAATCCCAAGTCAATGAAGGGAATACATGAATGACCTTTAACCGCCTGGAGAGAAGTGAACCAAATCCCTGCCAGTTTCACAGAAGCATGACCTTGGCTTAAGCTTTGAACATTAAAAGTCATTTGCACTATTCAATTGTATACTATACTGCACTAGATTTCTTTCTTCCCCATGTGGTTGAGAAAGTGCAGAGAAGAGGTTAAAAACATATGCTAAAAACAGACATCCATTCTGCTAAAATGATTCAGCTAGCATTGACATAAAAATGAACAATTAGTTCAACATGGACGATTGATCATTAACGCTTTTGTCCAGCACTAGGTTGCTCTGCCTTTATTTTCCAACTTGATTGACATTGGCATAAAAAAATTTTAAATTCAGTATCAAATTAAGACTAAAAGCATCAGCATATTGACTTCATAACACCACACTTTGAATACAGTAACATTATAGCACTTTTATTGAAACCTTAATATTTCCGATAAAAAGAGCATAATTACTACAATTCCCAGATGTACATTCCAGCTAATTATTGGAACTGATAGCTAATTTGTGAACATTACTGCCAAACTGCAAAGTAAGGAGCAGGCACTAAGCCAACACAGGTGGCTCTATGATATGCAAAAGGAAAAAGACAACTGCTAAACTCATAACCATGTCTAAAAGCCTCTGTGATATCATCCTATGTACCTGAATTGCAGCCAGATTTTTCTGCTCTTGTGTTGGAGCCTGATGGACAAAGCGCAGCCAGTTTGAATGCCGTGGATTACTGGCATCCAGAATATACAGTACTTCACCCTTACTCCCACGTACCTGCAAATGTCAAAGAAACATTCAGATGTACAATCTGCTGCAGTAGCAATAAAATTAATCAGAACTGTTTGGAGACATTCCTCCTCGTAACACATCATATAGGTCAAATGCACCCAAACAGCCACTATACAGGCAAAGTGAAGTATTTGCTCTTGGATGTACAAAGCTTTTTATATAGAAGTGACTTGTACCACCGGCCAGTGAAAAAGAAACACTGCCAAAGCATAGACAGAATTGCACCATCTCTCCATTTGTAAAATGAGAGTAGAGTTAAAAGGTTTCAGTTTCCACAGCTCTGAATGTCGACCTCAGTCAAATCCTGAAATTAACACACGTGCATTATCATGTATCATAGTAATCGGAACGGAAATTGAAAGCTTGTCCTTTTTGTGTGTTTTTGTGAATAAACAGCACACTTTGATCTTAAATTCTTCATACTAGCAGCAGCTAGAGGATTCAAGTGCTGCATCTCCAGAAGACTCTGTATGTGAGGAAACATAATGGAATAGCTGAAGACAATTATAACAGACAGAAGTTTTATGAACTTAGCCTTGGCAGCTATTGCAGGTAATAGGTCAAATTTATGAGACAACTACCTTTGTTACTGTTCCAGATTGCCCTCAGTTTCACTGGCATCCCTGAATTTGCAGAACTGCTCATTATCCAAATGATAAATTGGATGGTCCAAAGTTTATTCAAAAAGTCATTAATTCTGGTGTTGTCAGATAAAACAAATCCACCAAGAACTTTAATATTGGAAGTGTTTGTTTTCTTAGGCATCACAATAAATTACTCCTCACTTCCAAAAGTCTGCCCCTAACTGTATTTGTCTATTCTGAGATTTTTATAATGATCAATGTTCCGATTTGGAACTATTGCCCTACCCCTGAAATTACATCTCAGATTACTTTCCTCTATTAAAAAAACCTTACCATTAGCGGAGGTAACCATCATCATTGTTTAAAACTGAATTAGTGAGAGACAGAATCTGAGTACGACTTCCACCTTTCACACAATTAGAGTTCTGCTCTTTCAGGTCAGAAATAAAATACTTCAGATGCTAGAAATGCTCAGCAGCCCAAGGATCATCAGTGGAGAGAAACTACAATTAAATTTGTCACCTTTCTTTCTAGTGATGGCAACCTTGAAAAGGTGATTCTGCTACATCGGTGAATGTCAGCTGACACCCACCTACCAGAATGGTCAGATCTCATGCCTGTTCACTAGAGATAGCAACGCAATTACGAATATGGTCAGGAACTGCAGTTCCATGTCCTCTGGTGTTGGCAGCTGCTCCTCAGTAAAATCCCAGTCAAGCTTACCTTTTCTGCCTTACTGGACTCATCGTGCTCTTTATATCTAAAGATGTCTCCACAGTAGAAGTCACTAGCAGCATACCAGAACTTGACAGGAGTCGGGCAGAGGTGGGTGTAGTAGCCATCACTAAGGAGAAGGTGCAGGGGGAAGCTGAAAGGTCTGAACGTGGATAAATCATCCAGATGAGATAGACTAACCCCTGGAGTTCTGAAGGAGATATCTGAGCAGATTTTGGAGACATTGGTGGTGATCTTTCAGGAGCCACTGGAATGAGGGAGGGTCCCAGAGAACTGGAACATGGCCAATGTAACACCCCTGTTAAGAAGGAATGGAGGCAGAAGACAGAAAATTATAGGCCAGTTAGTCTGCCTTCAGTCATTGGTAAAATTTTAGAGTATTATTAAGGATGAGATTGCGGAGTACTTGGAAGTGCATGGTAAAATAGGGGCGAGTCAGCACAGCTTCAGCAAGGGGATCACAAATCTATTAGAATTCTTTGAGGAAGTAACAAGCAACTTAGATAAAGGAGAGGCAGTGGACATGATCCATTTGATTTCTGGAAGGCCTTTGAGAAGGTGCCAGACAGAAGATTGCAAAATAAGATGAGAATCCATGGTGTTAGGGGCAAGGTACTGATATGGATAGAGGATTGGCTGAATTGGCTGAAGGCAGAGAGTGGGGATAAAGAGGTCTTTTTCAGTCTGGCAGCTGGCGATCAGTGTTGGGACCATAACTATTCACGTTATATATTAACAATCCGGACAATGGACATTGACAGCATAGTTGCTAAGTTTGTAGTTGACACAAAGACAGATGGAGGGACAGGTAGTGTTGAGGAAATGGGGAGGCTGCAGAGGGACTTGGTCAAGTTAGGCGAGTGAGCAAAGTGACACATAGAACACAATCTGGGAAATTGTGAGGTTTTGCACTGTGGCAGGAAGAATAGAGGAGTGGACCTTTATTTTAAATGGGGAAAGGCTTTGGAAATCTGAAGCTCAAAGGGACGTGAGTACTAGTTCAGGATTCCCTTATGGTTAACATGCAGATTCAGTTGGCAGTTAGGAAAGCAAATGCGATGTTAGCATTCATTTCAAGCGGGCTAGAATACAAGAGCAGAGGTGTACTGCTGAGGTTGCATAAGGATCTGGTCAGGCCACATTTGAAATATTGCGAACAGTTTTGGGCCCCAATCTGAAGAACAATGTGCTGGCATTGGAGAGGGTCCGGAGAAGGTTTACAATAATGATCCCAGGGATGAAGGGCTTGTCATATGAGGAGCAGTGGAGTTTAGAAGGATAAGAGAGGATCTCATTGAAACTTACAGAATACTGAGAGGCCTGGATAGAGTGGACATGGAGAAAATGATTCCACGCATAGGAGAGACTAGGAGCTGAGGGCACAGCCTCAGAGTGTAGGGACAACCCTTTAGAACTGAGATGAGAAGTAATTTTGTCAGCATGAGGGTGGTCAATCTGTGAAACTCATTGCCACAGAGGAATTTAGAACCGAAGTCATTGGGCATATTCAAGAGAGATAGGTTCTTGATTAATAAGGGGATCAAGGGTTATGCAGAGAAGGCAGGGGAATGGGGTTGAGAAATGTATCAACCATGATGCAATGGTGTAGCAGACTCGATGGGTCAAATGGCCTATTTCTGCTCCTGTATCTTGTAGTCTTATACACCCATGTAAAGGAACCCAGGATGTAGAAGCAGTTTGGGTAGAGATGAGAAATGATAAAGGCAAGAATTCACTAACTGGAGTGGTGTACAAGTTCCCTAATGGTATAGTTCATTCTACCATGAGTCATACAGGCATAAAGCTGTACAGCATGGAAGCAGACCCTTCAGTCCAATTGTCCATGTCAACCAGATATTCTACATTAATCTAGTCTCATTAGCCAGCATTTGGGCCATATCGCTCCAGATGACTTTAAATGTTGCAATTGTACCAGCCTCCACCAATTCCTCTGGCAGCTCATTCCATACACACACCACCTTCTGCCTGAAAACGTTGGCCCTTAGATCCCTTTCATATCTTTCCCCTCTCACCTTAAACCTATGCCCCCTAGTTTTGGACTGCCCCACCCTGGGGAAAAGACCTTGGCTGTTCACCCTGTCTATGCCCCTCATGATTTTATAAACTTCTCTAAGGTCAGCCCTCAGCCTCTGATACTCCAGGGAAAATAGCCTCAGCCTATTTAGCCTCTCCCTGTAGCTCAAACCCTCCAACCCTGGCAACATCCTCGTACATCTTTTCTGAACCTTTTTAAGGTTTGGAACATTCTTCCTATAGCAGGGAGACCAGAAATGAATGCAGTATTCCAAAAGTGGCCTAACCAATATCCCGTACAGTCACAACATATCTCCCAACTCCCATGCTCAATGCGCTGAACAATAAAGGCAAGCATATGGAATGCCTTCTTCACTGTCCTGTCTACCTGTGACTCCACCACTGTTGAAAGGAGGAAATGATGGAACTTATCAGAAAGTCACAACTATTGGCATAGCAGATTTTAATCTCCATACAGAAACATAGAAACATAGAAGATAGGCGCAAGAGGAGGCTATCCCGCTTGCTCCACCATTCTTCATGATCATGGCTGATCGTCCAACTCAATAGCCTAATCCTGTTTTCTCACCACAATGTTTGATCTCATTCGCCCCAAGTGCTATATCTAGTCGCCTCTTAAATACATTCAATTTTTTTTGCGTCAACTGCTTCCTGTGGTAATGAATTCCACAGGCTCACCACTCTTTGGGTGAAGAAATGTCTCCTCATTTCTGTCCTAAATAATCAACCCCGAATCCTGTGACCTCTGATTCTGGACACAGCCACCATTGGAAACATCCTCCCTGCATCAACCCTGTCTAGTCCTGTCAGAATTTTATACACATTCCTGCTCCTGTACTCAAAACCTCTAGCAATGAAGGCCAACATACCATTTGCTTTCTTTACCGCCTGCTGCACCTGCATGCTTACCTTCAGCAACTGGTGCACAAGAACACCCAGGTCCTGCTGCACACTCCTCTCTCCCAATTTACAGCCATTCAGATGATGCTGCTTGGCCTGCTGTGTTCATCCAGCCCTGCACCTTGTTGTCTCAGGTAGTAATCTGCCTTGTTTTTGCTTCCAAAGTGAATAACCTCACATTTATCCAAATTATACTGCATCTGCTACTGATTTGCCCACTCACCCAACCTGTTGAGATCATGCTGAAATCAAATGGGCAAAATTGGCCGAGATATAGAATTCATAAAAAGTTTTCAGGATACTTTGTTAGAACACCATGTTTTGGAGCCAACCAGAGAAGAGGCTATGCGAGACCTAGTATTGAGAAATGAGAAGGATTCAACAATTGATCTCATGATGAAAGTGCCACTAATTAATAGCAATCATAATAAAACGTAATTTTATATTCAGTTTGAGGAAGAGAAGAGTTCATCCAAGATAAGTATTTTAAACTTAAGCAGCTTCATGGGGCATGAAAGCAAAGCTAGCTGAAGTGGTCTAGCAAATCAGGTTAAGGGATTGATCAATAAGATGTAAAAGCAGACATTTAAGGGGATATTTCAGAATATGCATTCCAAGTGAAAGATCTGCCATTCATAGTTAACTGGAAAAGTTAAAGATTGTAAAAACATAGAATTGGGCAAAGGCTGGGTCAGAGGAATGAATAAAATA